TTAACATTGATAATACATCGAGTCTAGAGTCTACTTTGACATGGAGACCAGCTCATTAGTTATAGACTGTGATATTTTGCAAATTTCACCTATTTACAACAATAATTTGTTAAACCAGTATGATACTCCAACCAGTGCAATGAATAGAAGTGCATGAAAAGTAACCGGCTTAACCGTTTCACACAATTTTTTGTGTTACAACGGTCACTGGGTAGAATCAAGTCTACCACAACAAATTCTCCAAAATGTTATATGCTAGTTACATGATATCCATTCTCAGGAAATTATTTTATTAAGACCATAATTGCTGGCGATTTGAAATGCACTACAACACTTAAATCTGTCAGCTTCATTGGCAGAAAAAAGTGATTCGTTGAATAATGCCTATGATCTACACAAAGTTCCCAGATTAAAAGAGTCACAAACAAGAACATCTACAGACTACATGAATCTTGATTCGAATTTAGAAGTCACATAACGCTTCAGATGATCTTAAAATTTGTAAAAACATGTATATGCTTCTGAAGCGTCACATTTAGATGTAATTAGTCATTACTTCTGTACTTATATGAAAATAAGGAGATATGGTATGATAACCATTGAGACAACTATCCACCAAAATTCAAAAAAGTGAATTAACCAATTGTAGGCAACCGTATGGCCTTCAACAACAAAAAATATCCATACCGTTTCGTCAACCATAAAAGACCCGACAAAAGACCCGACATGAAAAATACGAAACAATTCAACTGAGAAAACTAACGACCGAATGTATAAGTCTTGTGAAGAACTTTAGATACAGTCCTTGGATGGTGTAAACTTCCCACTCACACCATACACCATTACACCATTCACCATACACCATTACACCATACACCTTGTGCCATTACACCATACACGTTACACCTTTGCACCATACACCTTACACATTACACCATACACCATTCCCCATTCTATCTACACGATCCGAAATTACCCATAATGCAATTAAATTTCAAAGAAAGCGTGCGACTACAAAATTATTTATTTGATTTAAAAAACGAATTTTGATCACAATATTGTAAATTAATGTATAAAATTAAAATCTCCGTGGTCATGCCTATGATGGTTATATAAACAATACAGATTAAATATATATACATGTATTTGTAAATAAAGTACGCATAAAACTTTGCTTGTAATGCAAATTTATCCGCGATCTGCCTATCTATAAATTAAAAACGATATTGGTTACAATGCTATTATTATCGGTTTTAACATGTATCGTAAATCTTATAAACTTGGTTTTCAGATAAAATCGACAAACAATGCCAAAAATGAATACTTCAGGATGACTGGTACATCATGTACATGTACAACATGTACAACAAAATTATTTTAAGCATCAACCAAAACTGACCATATTTGCACTTATAATTATAAAATTGAGAATGCTCAATGGGGAGTGTGTCAATCTGTTAATTTATATAGGGTTAAAAAATTTGGAAATATTTTTGCCCTCCTTTTATTAAAAATATTGTCTCGCTACAAAATTTCAGTAATTTTGATACCTCAGGCTGACTCATATAACAAAATTATTTAACTCATCAACCAAAACTGACCATAATATTTTCACTTTATTATATAGATCTATATAGCCGCATAGTAAATCAGCAATATTTTGATGTCAGGGTGGATTGTATAATACAAATGACAGCAACATTGCAAAACAACATGTACAATGACAAAAATTTGTCCCCATCAATCTAGATAGCCAGCATGTCCTCATTTTATTCAATATATTGTCTCGCAACAAAATTTCAGTAGTTTTGATACCTCAGGTTGACTCGTATAACAAAATTATTTTAACGCATCAACAAAAACTGACCATATTTGCACTTTATTATGTATATCTATAAAGCCACATAGTAAATCAGCAATATTTTGTTGTCAGGATGGATTGTATAACACAAATGACAGCAACAGTGCAATACAATGACAACAAAAATTTGTCCTGATCAATCTAGATAGCCAGCATGACCTCTTTTATTCAAAATATTGTCTCGCAAGAAAATTTCAGTAGTTTTGATACCTCAGGCTGACTCGTATAACAAAATTATTTTAAACGCATCAACCAAAACTGACCATATTTGCACTTTATCATGTAAATCTATATAGCCGCATAGTAAATCAGCAATATTTTGATGTCAGAATGGATTGTATAATACAAATGACAGCAACATTGCAACACAATGACGACAAAAAATATACCCATCAATTTAGATAGCCAGCATGTCCTCTTTTTAATTAAAATATGGTCTCGCAACAATTTTTCAGTAATTTTGATACCTAAGGCTGACTAGTATAACAAAATTATTTAAACGCATCAACAAAAACTGACCATATTTGCACTTTATTATGTATATCTATATAGCCGCATAGTAAATCAGCAATATTTTGATGTCAGGATGGATTGTATAATACAAATGACAGCAACATTGCAATACAATGGCAACAAAAATTTGTCCCCATCAATCTAGATAGCCAGCATGTCCTCTTTTTATTCAAAATATTGTCTCGTAAGAAAATTTCAGTAGTTTTGATACTTCAGGCTGACTTGTATAACAAAATTATTTTAAAGCATCAACCAAAACTGACCATATTTGCACTTTTAATATTATGTATATCTATATAGCCACATAGTAAAGCAGCTATATTTTATTGTCAGAATGGGTTGCATTATACAAATGGCAGCAACATTGCAACACAATGACAACAAAAATTATCCCCATCAATTAGGATTGCCAGCATGTCCTCTTTTTATTCAAAATATTGTCTCGCAACAAAATTTCAGTAATTTTGATACCTAAGGCTGACTAGTATAACAAAATTATTTAAACGCATCAACAAAAACTGACCATATTTGCACATTATTATGTATATCTATATAGCCGCATAGTAAATCAGCAATATTTTGATGTCAGGATGGATTGTATAATACAAATGACAGCAACATTGCAATACAATGACAACAAAAATTTGTCCCCATCAATCTAGATAGCCAGCATGTCCTCTTTTTATTCAAAATATTGTCTCGTAAGAAAATTTCAGTAGTTTTGATACCTCAGGCTGACTTGTATAACAAAATTATTTTACAGCATCAACCAAAACTGACCATATTTGCACTATTAATATTATGTATATCTATATAGCCACATAGTAAAGCAGCTATATTTTATTGTCAGAATGGATTGTATAATACAAATGACAGCAACATTGCAACACAATGACATCAAAAATTATCCCCATCAATTTAGATAGCCAGCATGTCCCCTTTTTATTCAAAATATTGTCTCGCAACAAAATTTCAGTAATTTTGATACCTAAGGCTGACTAGTATAACAAAATTATTGAAAGCATCAACAAAAACTGACCATATTTGCACATTATTATGTATATCTATATAGCCACATAGTAAATCAGCAATATTTTGATTTCAGAATGGATTGTTTAATAAAAATGACAGCAGCATTGCAATACAATGACAACAAAAATTTATTCCCATCAATCTAGATAGCCAGCATGTCCTCTTTTTATTCAAAATATTGTCACGCAACAAAATTTCAGTAGTTTTGATACCTCAGGCTGACTCGTATAACAAAATTATTTAAACAAATCAACCAAAACTGACCATATTTGCATTTTATTATGTAAATCTATATAGCCGCATAGTAAATCAGCAATATTTTGTTGTCAGAATGGATTGCATAATACAAATGACAGCAACATTGCAACACAATGACAACAAAAATTTGTCCCCATCAATCTAGATAGCCAGCATGTCCTCTTTTTATTCAAAATATTGTCTCTTAAGAAAATTTCAGTAGTTTTGATACCTCAGGCTGACTTGTTTAACAAAATTATTTTACGGCATCAACCAAAACTGACCATATTTGCACTTTTAATATTATGTATATCTATATACGTAGCCACAAAGTAAAGCAGCTATATTTTATTGTCAGAATGGATTGTATAATACAAATGACAGCAACATTGCAACACAATGACAACAAAAATTATCCCTATCAATTTAGATTGCCAGCATGTCCTCTTTTTATTCAAAATATTGTCTCGCTACAAAATTTCAGTAATTTTAATACCTAAGGCTGACTAGTATAACAAAATTATTTAAACGCATCAACAAAAACTGACCATATTTGCACATTATTATGTATATCTATATAGCCACATAGTAAATCAGCAATATTTTGATGTCAGGATGGATTGTATAATACAAATGACAGCAACATTGCAATACAATGACAACAACAATTTGTTCCCATCAATCTAGATAGCCAGCATGTCCTCTTTTTATTCAAAATATTGTCTCGCAACAAAATTTCAGTCGTTTTGATACCTCAGGCTGACTCGTATAACAAAATTATTTAAACGAATCAACCAAAACTGACCATATTTGCACTTTATTATGTAAATCTATATAGCCGCATAGTAAACAACAATATTTTGATGTCAGAATGGATTGCATTATACAAATTAAATGACAGCAACATTGCAACACAATGACAACAAAATTTTGTCCCCATCAATCTACATGTAGATAGCCAGCATGTCCTCTTTTTATTCAAAATATTGTCTCGCATGAAAATTTTAGTAGTTTTGATACCTCAGGCTGACTTGTATAATAAAATTATTTTAAAGCATCAGCCAAAACTGATCATATTAGCACTTTATTATGTCATGTATGTAAATCTATATAGCCGCATAGTAAATCAGCATATAGCCGCAAAGTAAATCAGCAATATTTTGATGTGAGGATGGATTGTATAATACAAATGACAGCAACATTGCAATACAATGACAACAAAAATTTGTCCCCGTCAATCTAGATAGCCAGCATGTCCTCTTTTTATTAAAAATATTGTCTCGCAAGAAAATTTCAGTAGTTTTGATACCTCAGGCTGACTCGTATAACAAAACTATTTTAAAGTATCAAACAAAACTGACCATATTTGCACTTTATTATGTAAATCTATATAGCGGCAGCCGCATAGTAAATCAGCAATATTTTGATGTCAGGATGGATTGTATAATACAAATGACAGCTACATTGCAATACAATGATAACAAAATCTTGTCCGCTTTAATTTAGAGTGCCAGCATTTCATCTCTGTATTCGTTATATAAAACTGTCACTAAAGTCAGTATCAGTATCTGTATTTCCCACTTCCATGACTTCTGAATATGGACGGGTACATCACAGATTCCTTTTGGGCTATTGTGTGATGGGTTGGTCTGCGCATAAATTAGTCGTGCTTGCTGAGGTGTGATGATTTAAACTCAGTAGTTCAGGATGGTTTGTATAATAAAACTATTCCACCTCATCATCCAACAGTGTGACTGACATGACAGATTTCATTTGTACTTTATAATGAAAAGTATGAGAAGTTCTCTTCTAGGAAAAGTATACTGTTAGTATATTATGTCGGTTGGTTGATTTTGTTGGTGGCTAAATATCAAGTGGCAAATATTTCATTCTGTTTCACATAAGTATATTTTTTCGGACGTTCAAGATATCATTTATAATCCGTAAAGACAAATCTAACGAAATTGACGAGATTGTTCATAATTATACAACACCTTATGTAGGCTATCCACCTAAATTTTAAGATCACAACAAAAAATTAAAAAAATTATGTAACAGGAAGCTATCTCTATCCAAAGGATTTTATAAACTCTTTTTTTCATTGGTCAATCAGTGTATAACTGTATATTATCCAGATAAGATTGATCATATCTTAGGGTTGTGTGATGAACAGGGAGGTAATCTCAAAATTTGTTAGAAAAAATTGAGTTATCTTTCTTTTTGAATTAATATTTCTTACCTTCAAAAAAACTATAGTCTGTTTCATAAAATACTATAACTGCCACACATTCAAAATACTTTTATTGATCTGAAAATAATAATAAAAAGTTAAATTAAAGATAACATTAATGATAGCAGTCATAACTAACTATTCATCTTTCATATTACATGTATTGTCAATTGATTAGTGCATTTATTTAAAAAAATAAACAATACATACCATTAAAATATAGGTTTCCCTCTCTATAATCTTTGGAAAATTCTTCTATGTTTAACTCATACAGATCTTCATTTTCACTCATTTCATCATCATAGTATTTGATCTATAAATGGAAATATACAAAATTTATTATAAACAATTCATATTGAAAATCAATTTAACCTAATAACAAATGCATAAAGCGTTAAAGCGTTAAGCAAAAGTAAAAACAGCCTAGTTTAGTGTTAAAATGATCAACAAGTTCAATTTACAAGTAACATAAAAGTTGACACATAGACATGATGAACAAGACATAAACACATATACATATATAGCATTCAACAAACATACCTAAGAATAAGGCATTTGAAATTGAAAGCAGCAAAGCAAATTATAATGAAGTTTTAATTGTCAAATATTAGTACAACTGCATGCAAGTTATCATATGCAAGTGATGTGTGAAAAAAACCCCAACATAAACTGATATTAAAAGCTTTGCTTGTAATTAAGACATTGGTCCATTTGGAGTGTTTAAGAATCTGCGTGTTGTGCATCAATTATTGATTAAATTAATTTTCAAATAATGCCATTCACCATGGTCTCACTGTTTTCTATTTTTGATCTGTATATATATATTCATCAATATTAGAAACGAATAAATTACTTTTTAGATTAAATAAACTCACTTTTATTCAATACAATTTAGGTGAAATTCAACAAATTCAAAAACATAGATATACAGTCAATAATATTGTAGAAGTATGGAGTTTTTCTTAAACCAAGGAAAGACTGGAGGATAATGGAAAATGCTTTCAGGTAATGAACTGCCAAGTCAAACAAAGCAATAACCTTAAATGTGTCATTATTGAAGGACATAATCTTCCCACTGTATTTGGTGTCAGTATTTGACTCATCATCTGTCCATACATGAGTTTTCCAACAAAGCTATCAGGGTCTTGAAATAGGTCCATTTTCTCGCTTCTAATTTTGAGTAATTGTAGCAAATTGTTGGTGAGCGTTTCTATGCTATGTTGTTTTCCTTTAGTACTTAAGTTAAAAAGATGTTTATCACCGCTGTTTACTGCCATTGTTTCCTTATGTATTTGAAGTTGATTTTTTAAGGCCAAAATTTTTTCTTTCTTTGTTTTTAACGGTTCCAGTTGTAATTTTATTTCATTTAAGTTTTGCCAAATTCCTAAAATAGTGATATTGTTCATGACCGTTTCCTTTTTTTTTAACTTCTTGTCCTCATTATCTTTTTTTTCCTTAATTTTGTTGTCAATTATTTTAACTCTTTCCTCGTACAGTTGTTGTCGATTTTCTTTTGCCTCATTCATTATGTTTTTTCTCTCAGATCTTACATTGGCAATAATTTCGTGTTGCTCATTTTCAGATTTTGAACTCAACCAATTTTGGGTTTCATTTTGTCCATACATTATAGAACCTTCAATAGTTTCTGGCATAAAATTTGGACCTGTACGTAATTTGTTGTCCAGGTGAGCAAAAAGCCTCTCAACGCAAATGTTATTTGGTGGACAGGATTTACTGCTTTCACTTAAAATTTCAGACGGTTCAAAATAAATTCCTTCAGGCAAAAAATCTTTAAAAAGAGAATGACATTTAATGCGTAACGAACAAGCAAAGACTTTCAAAGTTTGAATGGTATTCTTGTTAAAAGACGGAGAGCAATCAAAAAGGTAGGTAGATTCTGGTTTCAAAGGTAGCTGTGGTCCGGGTAAAAAGTAAACTTCATTTTTCAAAAAAAGTTCTGGATTTTTCTCACAAATGTCCAAAAGTTCGATAATTCTGTTATATGTAGGTCCAATATTTATTGCCAAAATTTCGTTGTTACCAGCTATAGTCCAATACAGTTCTGTTAAAGTTTGACACAAAATTCCTAAAGCTCTGCAAATGCATAATATTTCGTTGTTTTGAAGTGCGGCTAAAATAAAATTTTGTGTATAATTCAATGTACTTTTAGATGTTTTAAAATATGTTACCAAATATTGAGCCAAATAAAAAGTTCCTCTTGCATTATGAAAAAAAGTGTTGAAACGATTTCCTCTAAAGTTCAATATTGGTACATCAAAAATTCCATGATGCTTTTTCAAATATATCTTGGTGAAAAGAGGGTCACCAGATCCATCCTTAAAAAACAGTTTTGATAAAAATCGTATCAAACAATGGGTGGCAGATTCACGTTTTTCATGTTGAATATTAACTTTAAAATCAGATTCTAGTTTGGAAATTTCTTTTTCGCATACTTCAGAAAATTGTAGTAATGGATGCACTGCACATTTAAACGACTGGACTGTGTTAGTTGGTGATGAAGCTGATATATCTGTTGCCAAAATTTTATTCACTTTATTTTCGGTTGCACTGCGGTCAGTCATGAAATTTTTAACTTTGCCAAAAATGTTAGGAGGATCCAAAGTTTCTGAAAATTGTGTTACTTCTTGAAGCATTTTTTTGGTACATTCAACATATGTTGTAGCTTTCCCATCTTTTACCTCTTTTAATCCTGTAGTAAATGTCTGGTGATTTTCATTGGTAATTTGTACACCATAATAATGTCGGCCTAATTTTGTAGTTGCATCGCGGTGCATTGTAATATTTTCTGCATTATCAATTTCTTCACCTATATGTTGTTTTGCAATCAACCCTAATTCAGCGGTTAAATTGCTTGCAGTTGTCTTGGAGGGTAAATCGCCAATTTCCATATTTAATAAATTAAAAACACATTTAATTAATGGAGCACAATGCTGTAGACCTATTCCACGGCTTCGGAAATTATAGTATATTTGACGGATTTTATCGTTAAATGGTTTCCCTTTACTTTCTAGTCTAGTTTGTATCAAATCATCTTTTACATTGTTATTATTATCATTTCGACATTCCGACTTCAGTATATCTAATTCATCTTCTAAGTTTTTAATAATGCTTTTGGAACGATTGCATTGTGTTGCCTTTTCATGATGTTTTTTTCTATCTAATAAATCATTGACTCTTTGTTTTAACAGTGCTATAGTATTATGTTGTCTCAAAATTGTTGAAGCCTGCCTTTTAATTTTTTGATTAAGCCGTGAAACATTAATTGACCTTAATTTTTCTCTTAATTTCATATTTGACGTCTCATGTACTTTAATGGTATTTCTTAACTTCTTGCAATCTTCTCTCATTTCCTCATCATTGTCATCTACTTTTCTTTTCAAAAGTCTCTTGGGAAATACAAAATCGGCTTGCAAATACTTTTGTAATCTGTCATTGTTTCGGCAGTTCTTCAATTTTCTTACTAGATGAACAACTCGCTTAGCTTTGTTATAAATGCTTCCAACTATTATAGCTTGTGGAGTTACACCACCAAGTTCACACAGAACTTTATGGACCATTTGAGGTTTCCCATTTACGTGTTTAAAAACATCATGTACAACATTGTTTGTAACCATGTTGTTTGACATAATGACAGTTCATCAACTCAAAACAAAAATTTTACCATATAATGCTGAAGTATTAAAAAGTAACAAAAGATTTACCATTTATGAACAATTTAAAGGTATTGAGTTATCTCCCTTATCAGACATATCTGGCTGGTGTTATTACAATTATAAACATTTCAAATTGTCAAAGCAACTTTTTTTTATGTATAACATTTGCAAACCATGACTTTTAAATATTTTAATTTGGGTAAACTTCTTTAATAATGGGCAACTGACTTAAATTTATGATAAATTCTATTCATGAAATTGGTTTGAGTTATATCCCTTTATAAAATATTGAGTTATATCCCTTTATCAAATTATAACAATATAATAATAATAAATGTAACCTGTGAAATGAATGCTTACCTCAGATTTAAATGAATATGTTGAATATCTGCCAAACTTTCCAATTTTTTGTAAACAATTTCTGAAGTAACTCAAACCTACAATAAAGATAAATTGTTCTGAAATATTCACTTTTGCCATTTGATGTGTTCGTTTTGTATTTTGATTTACTAGATGAACAACTCGCTTAGCTTTGTTATAAATGTTGTGGTGTTGCTCAGTTGTTTTTTTACATGTTGTTATATGTTGATTGTTTATCATAAAAATAAAAATAATCATAATTTGTTGCAGGCATGCTTACCTCAAACTGATGTGAAGATGCTATCAAACTGCAAAAAAGTATGGTTTGATGATGATTTCAAATGTCTGTATACAGTCCTACAATAAACAAAATGTCATTATGGGTGGTTGCCAATCATAATGCATACAAATAATATATTAACTGTGAAGAATGAATAAAATCATGTTCTTTGTAATGGATTATGCACAACTCATGATAATTATCATACTAAATCATGAAGAAAAGGATTATCATTCTCTTACTTATACTTAAAAGTCATCAATTTATCATTTATTGTCATACAGTATGAGTGAAATTCATATCGATAGTTTATTCTGTTTAATCAATTTATTGTACATGTTATAATTTAATTAATTAATTGTTCCTTTGGACTTTACTTGGTATGGTGAGTTTTGTTAAGTTGTTGCAAAGTAGAATAATTTGATTATTAGGTCCACAGTCAGACAATAACTGGTGAGTGATATAATACTCATTAAATGTGTAAAAAGGTTGTGATGTTTGGGTTTATTGCTCATGCACTGAAGTAACTGCTAAGTGTTGTGTTTTTGAATAGCTTTATTTGGAAAAAAAGTATTTGAAGATGTGAAGATGTATGCAATATGGTAGATAACAAGAATATTTTGGTGCAGTGTAAACATGAATTTATAATGAGTGTCAATTAATATAGTTGAAACATACAATTAGAAAGCAAGTGTAGTTTGGCACAGTCTGATCCAGTGGGGTGTAGATGGGTGATGTAGGCCCAAGTCCCTTGTTATTTTTAATACAATACATGTATGTATCTCACCTTTCTTGAAATGTTAACAAACACTCTAAGGTACCAACACTAGATTTTGAATTCTTCATTACTGATATAATTATTCATAATAAAATTTTAGTACACCTTATCATACACCATATTCATAACTCATAACTCAACATCATTGATCACAAATTATTACCTCACATCCAAGAATCATTTAATTTAGAGCTTACTTAAACAAAAATCCATTGAAAAAAATACATTTTGCTTTTAGAAAATATGCATGTTCACAGAAATGTTGTTGTCTGTTATTAAAATCATTCATGAAAGAAGCCACAAATTTGACTGTTTGCATAAGAATTAGCACCTGTGTGACGAATCGAAGAACTTGCTGTGGTTCTTAAATTTTGAGAAATTTTGTGGGGTACCATATGGAACTCTTTCCTTAAGCAAATGCTAAACCTTATAATTATATAATCTTATATATGGTACAAAATGGTCATGATACAAAATTACTATAATTCAATTGAATTATCAAAACAATCACTATCATTTGCAAGTATTTATTCCCCATTCTTCTCAATATCAAATTCATTTCATATCAGTTAAGAATAACCTTCTCTTATTGGATAAAAATGGGCCACATGACTTTATCTATTCTTCAGTCAAAAATTCCATCAGTCTTAAACAGAAAAAATATGGCCCCGAAAACCTATCATTTCATAAAATGCAATAGTGATTCATTAATTAAAAAATTATAGAAAAATTTGTTTTGAATTCATTATCATATACAGAATCATTGCACTTAAATGAAAGGCAGTGACTTATGGTTGTCACTATGAGTGGTCTTTACTATTTCCTATAGAAATCACACAATACCTAGTTTTTTCTTAGAACAATTTGAATTTATGAGAATTTTAAAAGACATGGTTCCTTAGGGGACGCCCATTTGATATTCTGGGGGGGGGGGGGGGGGGGGAGGTGGGGAGGGAGGTGGGTAAGTGGGGGGAGTGTTCCTTGATAATAACAAAAATAAATGGTTTTATCTGTGGTCATTCGAAAATAAATAATCTGACTTACAATGTATTTAAAATAAATAATAAATTGGAAGGTTTTTTAAGCCATTTTATAGGAGTATGAGATGGCAAAAAAAAATATTATTTAAATATACTTGAAATGTCTGAGAATGGGTTTCATTTAACTCACGGTATATTGTCTCAGGAACACTTACCTTACTGTTATTACAGGGTCGTAATTACATTGAGGCATTTTATGAAATTTTAAACCCAAAAGCTTGTATTCATATAAAAAAAAAATTACAGAACCGATCCAAAACAAATGCTCCCCCCCCCCCCCCCCCCCCCCCCAAGAATATCAAATGGTCATCCCCTTAATGAAATAAACATAATAATTATGAGAACTGGTCAATAGCGTGATACATGGAATGTCATTATGACAATGTAATTGACTGCACTTGATAATGACAATGTCTATGCCTCAGTCATATGCTTTCTTAGTCAATTTGATACCACTGTCCTGTGGGTGGTCCATATATCACAATAATGACCAGATTTTCAAAAACTATATGTAAATAATTCTGCTTCTCTTGAATCACTTGATTGTTTAGTTTCAGCAATGCTAAAACCTATGGACTACCAATAGAGGGCCACTGTGTTTCGGCATCACTAAAACTACACGTGGGATCAACTGACTCAAAAGAAGGCGGATTTACCTCATAATCAGAGAGCAACTGACTATCGTATTCATCAAAATGGTGTGAATATGATATCAGTGGACTTCCAAGACTAGGTAAATCTATGCCCGGGGAATCTGATAACCGCTGACTTTCTTCTTCATCACTTTCAAAACGTAAATTTAATGAAGGTACAGTGAGATGGATATCAGATTCCCTGGGTACTTCAATGCCATCAGATACAGAGTTCGAGTCACTATCACTTTCATAATTTTCTGAATCAAATGATATGACTGAAACACCTGTCGCTGAAGGTATATCTGAGCCGTCACACAATGATATATCAATAGAATCTTCTGACCAACTACTCAAATCAAACAGTGAATCAGAAGAATCTACTGAACTACCTCCTGCAATTCTACTGCAAAACTCATGACAAAAGCTACATTCTCTATGAACTGTGCATACACAATTACTTGGATAATGAGTAACATCTGCAATTGTCTCAGTTATATTTTCATCAGGAACAATATTGCAATGTTCCCTACAAATGTATCTAAACATGAGTGCATGACGAGGATTTGCAACTACAAGATGAAAGTCCTGAAAAAATCCTGGTACCCAGTGTTGAGATCTAGCCATAATCTGTAAATGTTATTAACATTTTTTTTATATAAGTACATCAAAGAAGAATTTAAAATATTTTATACATATTAAGAAACTGTATTAAGATAAAAATAATTTTTTTATTGCTTGCGGTGGGTGTCATTGGGGTCTTAGTGTGATGCAGGATTTGCTGATTTTTGTGACCATTACACATGAAAGTAAAATTACTTTAGGCATGAATACTGAATGAAATTACAAAGAAATATGAAAAAAAAGTTGCATATTGTATAAGCGTGAAATAGGAATCAGACAAAGCACAAAGCATTTAGGATCAGACCTGACCCCAATGAGACACCCCCCCCCCCCCCCTTGCATTCATACTGTTTTTATGAGGTTTTTTTAATTGTTATCTCCCCCTTGATAAAAAAAGTTATATACAAAAAAAAATTAACAGAGAAACTTTTATTCCCTCCTAACAGAACAAAAGGGCATTAAATTGCAATGCTTACTGACCCCCCATTAAAACATCAAACAATTGTTAACTTTATCAAGTTGTATAATCATTATAATGTAACCCTCCCCCCCCCCCCCTTTTAAAAACATACACACATACACATAATTGTATTTGTCTTAATAGAGTGATTTGATAATGAAATTTAAAAGTAACAACCATTTCTATAAATTTATTCAAAATGGGTTGATATTCTGTTCTATTTATTCATAAATGAAAACACATCCAATAACAGACTGTAGTTAAAGGGAAGTAATTCCGAGATGGCGGAGTACCAACATTTTTACGTTTAACACAAGAAAAACTGTCGGAAAATATCGGCAAAACAATGCCAGAAGAAAAATTAGCCAACAGCAATCATAGCACTCTTTTTTTCAGTTCAAATGTAGCTTATGTCTATACATCACTTTCAAGTCTATATTTTTGCAATTTTGTTAATTTGCCGCAAAGGACAGTTCCCGTCAAATTTTGATTTTTTTCTTATAAAATGTCATGTTACTGCAGTTTTCATTATTTTTCAGTACAATTTGGATTAGGAATTTCCCTTTTTACCATCAATACCTTATTATGATATGTCTTTCTTCACTTGCAAATTATTTTCCAACTTTGCTACACGAATTTCACGAGATATTTGGCTCAAATCACAACTTCCGGTATTCTAGAGTTATCTCCCATGTGAATAGTTGGGCAGCCTACCTTATGTGCAATAACACTGTACAATTTTCCTTTGAACATTTTTTGGAAAACAGAATCGTAAATCCAAGGCAAACATAGGTGAATGACGATAAGATATTTATAAAGAGACTGTCAAAAGTGGGGAACGAAGCAACTTTAAAAATGATGTTGATAACCCGTGATATAAAAATACTGTTCCGATGCGTGGATAACCTTTCTATCCGCCTTCTAGTTTAAATAAAATCCTTTCTTTTATGATAACTGCATGTGATCACAAGTGTGTAATTTTAAAGCCATTGTTTAATGTAAATAAGAATATGAAAAAAAAAGATTTTTTAATATGTGTATATTAAATATATATGACATAGAGTCTAACGAGTAAAGTAATTTGCTTTACTGGGAAAAAAAGAACAATAGGATTATTATTATTGTTTATGTTTACAATCCGAAAAATTAAAATAAAATGAACTTCGGTTTCAACCAATGAAATGTCGTACACCATTCATTCACACCATTCCCGATCGCACGTTACACAATCACACCATTCCTCATACACCATTACACCATTCCCCTTACACCATACACCATAGCACCATACACCTTCTACCATTGCACCATATGCCATACACCATTACACCATACACGTTATTTTGGGAAGTTTACACCATCCAAGGGCTGTATAGGAATTCAAAGCGGTCAGCTACAAAATAAAAACTGTTTATAAGACTTAGAACTTCTACAAAAAACTTATCATAGATACCAGGATTGAAATTTTGTATTTGCGCCAGACGCGCGTTTCGTCTACAAAAGACTCATCAGTGACACTCTAGTCAAAACAAAGTTTAAAAGCCCAAATTAAGTACGAAGTTGAAGAGCATTGAGGACCAAAAGTTCCTAAAAGCTTTGCCAAATTCTGCGTAGGTAATCTATTCCTGAGGTAGAAAAGCCTTAGTTGTGTCGTCATTAATACTGAAATCAATTGCCAGCAGTGTTTTAGATCTTGGACAGTTATTTCTAGCTTACAGTCGAGTTCAGAAAAACGGTATATAAAGTGTTCTGTCAGAGTAGACATTACCGCCAAGTCAGTTTCACAGCACATAAGTCTACAGTGAAGACTATGGAACGCCGACACTGTCTTATTATGACATTTCTCATTATATGATGTTCATTTGCCATTAAATGATGTCATTTTACCCTTATATGATGTGCAAATGACATTATATGATGTGCACTTATCCTTATATGATGTACTCTTGTCATTATGTGATGTGAACTTGTCCTTATATGATGTACACTTGTCATTATATGATGTGAAGTTGTCCTTATATGCTGTCCAAACACATTTATATGAGGTGCAAACATCTTTATATCATGTTCACAATTCATTAAATGATGTGCTTTTTCCATTATGTTATGTGATTGAGTCCTTATATTATGTGATGCTTTCCTTATACGATGAAGAAACGGCATTATGTGATGTGCAATCACACGATATGCAATCACCTTTATATGATGACAATTTGACATTATCTGATGTGCAAATTATATTACATGATGTGCAAATTATATTATATGATGTGCAAATTATCTTATATGATGTGCAAATGGTCTTATATGATGTGCAAATTATCTTATATCATGTACAGATGTCTTTATATTATGTGCAAACTTCTTTATATGATGTGAACTTATCCTTATGTTATGTGCTAACATCGTTATATGGTGTGGTTCGGTTTACATCTTTATATGATGTCAGAACATCATTATCATGATGTCGAAACATCATTATGATGATGTGCATTCATCGTCCTGATGGTCAATGAACATGATTACGATTAAAGCGATTACTCACTACGTCAGAACTGATTCCGATCTGCTTCTGTGGAGTAACAATTAATCAGGCTCAAATTTTTAGCTGTCGTTTGGAAAATGGTTGAGATTTAAAAAGAGATAAACCTTGGCATGTTAGTACCTCGTTTTAAGATGTAAAAAATCACACCTGATATTGTTGGAAAAATGTCAAAATATATGAATTGCAACGTTTTGTTTTAATCGATTGGTCTAAAATAATAAACATACGGAGTCTGCAATAATGAACATTCGGTTAAAATTATTAAATTTAAGAAATAATTCTTTTATTTCATGCTCTATGCTCATTTTAACAAGGGAGGGCATTATATTTGTCAATTTCTGTACACAATAAAAAAAAATCTATAAGAAGTTAATACACGAATTTCTAGTATCTACATTATGTAAATTTTGCCTTGCTGATTATTTTAGCTGTTCGAGTTTCTCTTTATATATTCTCAAGATAGACACAAAAGAATGGGAAAAATCGGACTAGGATAGGGTAATGGCTTATATAAGGGACCAGTCATTTGTAACCCCAAAAAGAGGGATAGGAAGAAATAAAAGGGGCCTTTAATTTCATCATTTTTTTAATGGAAAGGTGCATTCAATTTTATATAGTTATAGATTTGCGGTATAATGTTATGGCGATGTCTACAAAATCCGTAGGCATCAATTTTTACGCCTGGTTCCGCTCGCCTCAATTGTTAAAACCTGAATCCTTAGTTTCAACAATTTCACTAGCAGAAAATTTTTCATCTGAAGCTAATATCGAATGAAGGTGTGGTAAATATTAATGAGACCATAACCGGCAAATCTAAATTAAGTTCGTGAAGTCGCAAACAACTTCCACACTTGAAGTTCTAGATTCACTTCTGACGCAATATTTTAAACTTATAATGCATTTAGAAACTTAATACAATTTTTTTGTTATTACAAACAAAAGTATTGAAAATGTGTGTATGTGCGTTTGTGTGTAATTGTCCGGTGGTGGCTTTTTTTTTGGGAAGAGGAGGGGGGGGGGGTTGAAATTTGTAGGTCTTTGGAAAAAGGGGTATTTATTGACTGTTTTTCCTTCTTCAAGGTGTAGACTTGAAAAAAAAATAAGAGAAATTCCACTGTTTCCTCACACGTCCCCACCCCCAATGAAAGAAAATATTACCATAATTATTACTTATTTATTTATTTTAACATTCCGATGTATTGTTACCAAAGAGATTTCTACTTACGTAGCTTTCGTTTTTGACTGGTAACCGATTTATAAATACGGACATTATAGAGTGCAAAATAACATTCCTTATCGCTTGTTATAAGTTTATTTTTTCAATGAATACTCATAAAAATATTTTTTTTAAGATCACAGATTAATAATATATAATTTGTACCACTACAATATGATAGTTATTACGGTGAGGTTGAATTCCCGAACATTTATTCATCATCCACGCACGAACTTGTCTCAGAAAAAAAATATATCTCTGTACATTAACATTACTTTCAGGTACAGATATGATTTTTTTCTGGGACAAGTGCTTGTGACCATTCACAAGAATTTGCGGTCATCCGATGATCAGTACTTCACTACTTTGATTATATCTGTTCTTGTCTATACCAGTTTTCAAGAAAAGGTTTCTCTATAGATAAGTTATCAAGATAATAGCCAATAAAACAACAAAACTCTGAAGAGCCAAAATTGCCCAAAAAGGACCTTTACTATAGAGTTTACTCAAACACATTGCACTATTTGTTTTTTTAAATCTATTATAGTTTCCAGGATAAACGCAAAATATTAAAAGCCGCTGCCGTAAATCTTCACTTTGAACAATTAAAAATACAACTCTCTATCTGTAAGAGAACAACAGGTCTCAGTAAACAATAAATAAATGCAGTGTTTAAGTTCATTTAGACACCAATCTGATTAGATTACAGGTATTGTGTGTTCAAGCTTTGCTTACGCCGATCTGAAAACGCTCAATTCAAGACCATTGGGATTCTCTGGTTTTGTCGGATTGATCCACACCTTCAAAAATATGAAGGCTGAAATTTTATTGGCTGATGTAATATTAACCAGGACAGAAAGTAAAACTAAGTGTTGTCAGATCCTTGTAACCAAACCTTAGACAGATGATCTGTACATTATATATTAATCATTTGTTAGACACCGACTGTAGTGCGGGTAGGAGCACGTGTATTTCCTTGATGGACTTTAATAAAAAAGAACATGGTTATTTTTGTTTTAATTTCATTATTGTTTTATTTTTCCCTGATTTAAAATGGAAACAAACTATTTCGCTCCCCTTCTGAAAATATAAAATTTCTTTCAAGAAATTTGGAATCAAACATATTCCAAAAATGTTGCCCCCTCCCCCCCTCACCAAAAAATGAGCGGCTTCCCACAAAACCTTTTATATTGCGGGTTACTGCATGTGGTGGTAGCATGTTCGCATAGAGTGGGAGAGGTCATGGGTTTGACCCCCGGCCGGGTCAAATCCAAAGACTTTCAAATTGATATTTGCTGCTTCCCTGCTAAGCCCGCGAAATTAAGGAATAAGAGCAAAAGCTGGTCGGCTCGGATTTAGAAGAATTTGTCCGGGTAAGGTGACATGTCTTCCTTCGGAAAGTTACCTTGTGAACTAGCATGTTAAAAATCCGGCTCAGGGTGTCGGTCTAGTACAAAGCAGGGTTAATATTCATATCACATTACAGCTATTTTCCTAATGCATGTAGTTTAATGGTTTGATTGGCTTGATTGCTTTGTTTTTATAACTGTTTGCTCATGCATTTTAATTAAGTTTTACAATTCTAATCAACAGATAGGCTGGGTTTCAGCTTGTATGATGTTATTAATTGCTTGAACAAACATTTATACAAACAAAGCAAGCAATACACCCAAACCTTTAAACTACATACATCAGGAAAATAGCTGTAATATGTTCTTGTACGAATATTCATATCAATTTGCCGCTGCACATCAAGCATCCATCCATAACCATCTATATTGAAGTTGTGAAATATATGCACGAAAACATAATAAAAAGCTGAAAGCAAATGAAAAACACCGAGTTGAAGTTCATTCCATATCTCATTTAAAGCATTTCGGATGAAAGAGATGGGCGCTCGCTGGTCGAGTGGTGTGAATAGTCGAACTACTGTATCACTTGTCTGTCGACACTTAGGTGTGTGAGTTCGAATACCGCATGTGGTAGGTAAGCTCGACTCCTATCTTAATTGACCAGAATTGTCAGTTTTCAAAACGAAGGTTGTGTGGTCTCTCTGGGAACTTCGGCTTCCTCCACCAATATAAACTCACCGCCACGAAATAGCATGAAAGTGTTGAAAGTGGCGGTAAATATAAATCAATCAACAAATTAATCAATCAATCATCCATACCGGTATAATTATGGCCTCTAAATCTAAATCTTTATTCTCATAAAGTCAATGTATGTCATAATGACATCAGTACAGAGATAACAATAATAACTTTACAATATATACAAAACAAGAGAGAGAGGTTTCAAAATTCTTTAGTCAGGAGGTATAACAAAGTTAAGATATATTTCGACTTCTCTTTCCAGATCTTCTGGTATAGTTCTGTTAATTCCTGTAATATTTTTACTCACTAAGAATTTTATTTAGTCAATCAAAAGTAAAGAAAATAGAAAAGGTGATAAGTTTACTCCTTGTCGAACACCATTGTCACAAGCAAACAAAGTATTTCGAATTATAATTACTAGAAGATGCCAGCGAAAGCGCGGAACAATTGGGCAAGTGTTGAAACAAAGCGTGTGGACACAGTAATAAGGTGGACACAGTAAGGATTTGGACA